CATAGAAAGACTGCCGGCGAACAGTTGGCTCGATCTATATTCGTGAACAATGCTAACTAACTCTGCTATGAGTAGTCAAGAAGGCGATCAGACAAACTGCGTTCATACCCTGCTATTCCTTCATCTCCTCAGCGTAGTCGCCAAATACGTCGGACCGATACAGTCGTTTTCGCTGCAGACGGTGGGGCGTGTCGGGGGCTGGGTTTGGCACGACATCAGTCCATTTTCCACCAATAGTTGCCATTTGTTCGCTTCAATAACTGGTGATGAATGGGCTGCTACTGCGCCAAACTCCGCCCCCTCATACAACCCAGCGCCTGCAGCGAAAACTATATTAGACTTTTCTCCCAGCTTTATCTTCGCAGGTGTCAAAGGGTAGATAGGCAGTCTTCACATAGGTAGATTACCTCAACTCCGCTATCATAGTGTGCTTTGACAATTTTCGTTGGAGCCGTGCCAATTACATCTGGAACAACTTCGTGCTTCTTGAACGCTTCGGCGGCCATTGATGCAAAAGATCTGAAACTGTTGCATTTCAGGAAGTAAAGCATTAGATAAACAACAATAGCTCTTTCATAAAAAAGATGTAAGTCACATTAGTCACGACCGTAGAAATAATTATAGCAATTAAACACTGAGCGAAAGCTATGGAACTAGTGGTAAGTCATGGAGAATCGTACGTGTCGGAACACTGGACCTTTGGCTGTCGATGAGAGTAAATATTTCTACAAGTAGTCATAGAAAGTCCTTATTCTGCTGATTGCCCTCCTCAGCTTTCTGCTCAAATAGGAGCAACACTACACTGACCAACATCAAGCTGTAACAACCCTCAACCCAGGTTTTCAGCGTAATCATTAAAAAAACCATCGAGTTGTCAACGCCAATTCTAGAAAACATTTGATGATATTCTATCTCACCACCAGACTATAAAAAAACCCGCGTTCTGTGATGAAAAATATCTCCAGTCTGGTGGTTGCTAAGTTACATGGATCGCCTGTTGCCAAGTAAACCGTAAACAACCCCATTCCGGTTGTCCCATAATGATGACTTCACTGATATAAAATAAACAGCATTATTACTTCCCATCATTGAATCGTTTTAGCCTCGTTTTAGCCCCAGCCTTGAATGTACCATATAGTAGTGAGTTCCCGATGGTGAAGACAAGTACCGTAGCCAGGGGTGGTCACATAGTTCGCACACGGGTGTGTTACTAGAGTTAACCACACGAGGTCGCGCACATGCGGCAAGAGAATCGTAATTTGCCGCTCCGCCGCGCGCGGCGTCGGATACGGCTTTCCTTTAACTGATGTCACCGTGACGACTGAAGCACCGGATTTCATGTGGGCTACGAAACTGCAGACATTTATGACTATTTTCGGTTCTACATTGCCTGTTGTCGCCATCTACGACCTGGAACCATCGTCATTTGCGGGCGCGACGTCGCACGCGACGCCCATCAGCGCGGCGAATTACGATTCTCTTGTCACACACCCCGCACATGGAGGCGAGCGGCGATTCCCAACACTTAGTTCAACCAATGCACCACTACTCCAAACTTATGCTATTTAGTGGTTTCTGGGTACCCCTCCCCCAGACCCCATTTCTACGTTTTTTGAACGCCTCGAACTAATTGTTGCAGATGCCGCACGCAAACACAGGCGCATTATCCACATTATCGCATAGTGACCCTTTCCTACACATTCTTGGCGCAATTCCATGACAGACCTCTCTTCGTATATGGAACCTACTGCCACATGCACTATCCGAGCTAGGAAGGCAGCAAAAAATGTCGCGACTAGTCCTTCCGACGTCTTACAGGGGAAGGATGGAAGTTTGAGGGCTCGTTTGAAATGGATGGAAGTTTGAGGGCTCGTTTGAAATGGATTTTTAGCGGCTTATGTTGTTGTTGGGCGATGATTATGAATCTGTCAGCCATGTAGTTGATAATGTCGCAATCAGTCGGGACCGTGTCAAGCGTGGCGGAACGAGTCGGACACCAACTGCCTTGCTCCACCAACAAACGACCAGTGGTGAAAACGACGCGGGTGAGCTCATTCCATTCCTCTTGGAACCGCCCCGACTGATTACGACGATATCAACCAACTTTGCCTTCACGCAGAGGAAGATGGTGACGATTCAAAGGGTAAACTGCCCAAACCAAGTCGTTTTGCAAACAAGTCAATACAAATAGATAGATCCTTGGAAGGTTTCTGCAAAAGAGTGACCTTCTTGCCCTTCCTAAAGATAAATGGCTCGCCGAAAATTCCAACAATGAGTATGTACCTACTTCAAACTCAAATGGAAGGAGCCAAAAGCGATAAAGCTTGCCCTGAAGCGTCTCCTCCAGCAGACACTTGTTCTTCATCTCCACCAAAATTACACATTGTGTTCATATAGATGCGTTGTGTTCACAGACCACTTGCTAATGGAAGTTAGTCCCAAAATGCTTTCATAAAGAGGATTGATCGAGAGAAAGTTCGGGAAAGATAAGATAATGGATAAGATACGAAGAGATTCTGCGCTATGCAAAACATGTAGAACGTTCCCGAATGGCATCGAAAATACACTCGGCAGCGATCGATTGCAGGGTGCAGCGAACGCTAAAAAAACGGCTCCGCGCCACAATCTGCAGGAAAGTGCAGGGTAGTTGAATGAAAACATCACGTGCACTATAGCAATCGTGGGAGAATTCTAGGTAGCAGAACTGTCACCATCAGGGCACGTCCTGCCGTTAGGGAAAATTTTCGAAAAACATGACTCTCCCCTTCCCCCTATTCCATCCTCTGCTACGACCCACCCCCAAATTCCTACCGCTTCTCCGGAATTTCTCCGAATGTTCCGGAAAAATTTTCTTAGAAGAAAATACGCCTCCCCCTCCGCCATTTTACCCACAATCTTGCCAATTTTTCCCAGCTTCACACCACATTTCGGGAATTTCCCCAATGTTTTCCCAAAAACATTGCCGTCAAGAGAAGGGTCGTATTTCTCGTGAGAAAATGTTTCAATTTAGATGATTCAGGCAGTGGAACTGCTATCATCAGAGCAGATCCTGCCGTCGGAGAAATTTTCGAAAAATATGATCCCCAATCTCGTAATCTATGGCAGGTCTCCCCGCCTAGTCATGCACCCTCCAGAGTAAAACCATACTGAATGATGGTTCCCATACAACTAGTGCGAACATATTGCGTAGTTGGTGACTGTGACTTGACCTATCGGGAGACCTTCACCACTGCTCCGCATACCCAAATAAAGGATGATGGAAAATTAGGAATGCTACGTCTACAGCAATGAGTGAGGAAATAACGAAGCTTTTTTGTGCTCAGAAGGAACACAATCACATTTCAGGGATCGCAGTCTTCCCAATATCATTAGTTCTGATTCCGAGTGAAAAAAATCGCCTTAAGCCATCATTTTCAATTCAAAACACGACTCATCAATGAAGAACTTGGAATTCACCTGTTGATCAACACAGCGAGCAGAATAGTCGATATTAGGGTCATTTTACGAAATTGTTGCATAGGCACCTTCGCGTTCCCGCAGGGTTCAATAAAATGTGCCGGAGGGCATCGATTTGCTAAGAATCGCCTGTGGCGCGTCAGATGTCGCCGACTCGCTACTGGAGACGATTTTTTTATGATAACTATCCCTTCGCATAGAATAACTTAAGCACATCTAGAGCTGAGGCAGGGCACATCGCTGTTGGGGAATCCCCAACAGGGGGGAGGGTCGTATTTGGCCGCCAGAGAGGGGGTCGTATTTCGGATGAGGACAATTCATTTTGATAGTCGATTTTCTCGTTTCACGGGCGTTGTAACAGGAGAGGGGGGAAGTCGTATTTGCTCATTGTTAGAAGGGAGGATCTTATTTACTTTTTGGCCTTCTACGAGTGGTGGTTGACTTTTCGTGATTTTCCTTTTTTCATGTGTAGTAATACCCTCCCCCCTTTCCACCACAGACTCCGCTAAAATCCCCAACCAATGATGTGCCCTGGGCTGAGGAATACCTAAGGTATTCCACATTAGAAATGTAAAGGACATGAGGCTTTTCAGTTAAAAGGTCTGTGAAATTGATCGATTTTTGATCAGAATCTTGACCTTACCGACGCGTGCGGCTCGATTCAACAACTTGTACCTTCCGCTATTCGGTTCGGCAATTCTGTCTCTCTCATCAATTCAATCGTAAAAATGGATCCATTGGTTTCCCCGAAGCGGGATATCAAACAATAGAAGCGCCTCAGTTCATGAATCTCTTTAGGTATCATTAGCCCGGCATAAAGCATTGTTCACAGTCCGACCCTGACGAAACAGCGCTTCGGCGAAAAGCAATAGATGCGTATCGATTTCGCTGCTGCGCTAGAGAAAAACGCCAGGGCGGTCGGCTAGCGTTTTTCGCCCAACCGCTCCGCCGAACCGCCCGTCGATACGTATCAAAACCGTTTCGCGCAACCGCCAGACTCTTCGCCCAACCGCCAGTCGATAGGTATCGAAAGCTTTTCACCGAAGCGATTGTTCTAGAGAAACGCTGGGTCACACTGTGAACAATGCCTAATTGGCACCTATCTGACACCCGGTCTGTCCTGTTGACGTATTGACAACTCATGAATACCCAGGTTGATTTGTTTGATGTAATCTCGCTCACAAAAGACACGTCCAGATTATAACCGTCCTCACATATCATTCCAGCAGCTACTCAAGACCAGTGTGCCTTTGTACACAGCTTCGGTAAAGTCCTACATAAATTTCTCACTGACATTGTTTTCCCTGCCACCACCTTTCTCTGTAGTAACACGATCCAGGTGAGGTAAAAGCGAGTATGACCTCTAACGACAAGGCATGTTCTCAGAGTGCAAGTCTGGTAGTACGGCGGTTCGCGACATTGTCCAATACGTATTGATAGCGAGAGTAGACGAACCGAGCGGACTAATCCGGGAAGAAGGGCAAGACAATCGCAATTTGCCGCTCCGTCGGAGCAGCAAGCTTTTCTTACTTCGCATTATCCTGTCGATTGGAGCACCAGCCCGTCGCAAAAGGGTCAGATCTGAGATATGTGACAAGACAATCGTAATCGTGTGACGTATCAATTGGGAGAACCAGCGAAGGCCCGCTTTGCTGGTTCTCCCAATTGATACGTATCTAAACTTCATCGCGATTACTTCGGAATCGTTCGCTCGTTTCGCCTGTTCACATGATCGATATGTTCTTAATTTTTCGTGATTCTTTCACTGATCCCGCAGGGTCGCACACTGTGAACACTTGCCCAAGGTAGACACTTTATCACGTCTCCTCACAAACCGAATCCTCTTTAACGCGGTCCCCATTTCCTCTATATTTTCTGCTCTCTAGTCAACGCGGACAATCCTCTCTTTCTCTACGGATCATTAACAATAGCTGTCCTTTTGCAATGATGGCAGAAAGCCTAGTACGGTACAGCACAGAAACAAGACCTCAACCAAGAATGCCTGGAGGTGCAAAAATAGGTAATACCTTGAATGAATACATCTGAGCATCAACAGTGAC